CAATGGAATGGGCCTGAAAGTATGGCATCAATTTTCTTGATGCTATAACAAGGGAGAGTGCAATCTTTTCCATATCTGGGTAGCGCGTCTCTGCTAGGAGTAGTGCCTTGCTAATATAGTACACTGGTAGTTGATGTGTATTTTTTTCTCAGAAGGACTGCGCTGACAGCCCGTCTGAGACCGCCAAGTAAAGCAACAGTGGCTCTCGTGGTTTAGGTTTGGATCGTAGGGGTGCCTCTCCTAAGTGCTTATTCAGCGCTTGGAAGGTTTCCTCGCACTCATCTGTCTATTGGAACTTCTTTCCTTACTTCAAATTTTGAAGAAGGGTAGGCTCTAGTCAGTGCCCCTGCAGATAAAGCGGCTGAGTGCGGCTATCCGACTATTGAGGCTTTGGACCTCCTTTGGCTTTTGAGGTAACCTCATTTTCAGTAAAGCCCTTATCTTTTTCGAATTCGCCTCGATTCCTCTTTGGTTCACAATATACCCTAGAAATGACCCAAAGCTATACTGAAGGTACACTTGAAAGGGTTCAGCTTCATTTTATACTTTCTAAGAAACTGAAAGGTCTGATAGAGATGACTTACGTGCTTTTTCGCCTGGAGGCTTTTAACTATCATGTCATCCATGTAGACTTCCATAGTTTTGCCAATGAGCTCGGTAAACATCATATTGACCAGCCTCTGATATGTAGCTCCAACATTTTTCAATCCGAAAGGCATAGCCTTATAGCAATACAATCCTCTGTCTGTGATGAACGATGTAGATTTCTCATCAGGTCGAAATATGGGTATCTGGTTGTACCCTGAGTATGTATCCATGAAGCTCAAGAGCTCATGTCCAGCAGTGGAGTCCACCAGTTGGTCTATCCTTGGGAGAGGGAAGCTGTCCCTAGGACATACCTTGTTCAGATTTGTGAAATCCACACACACCCTCCATTTTTCACTATGTTTCTTCAAGAGTTTCGGGTTGGATATCCACTTCAGATAGATGGCTTATCTGATGAAGTTGCTTTGACTTAGTTTTTTGACTTCTTCTTTCACCATTTCATATCGCTCTGAGTTGAGGGCTTGCCTTTTCTGCCGATGCGGGGCACAGGAGGAGTTGAACTTAAGGTGGTGGCAACTGACCCTTTGGTCTATTCCTACCATGTCTTCGTACTTTCAGGTAAAGATGTCCAGGTTCCTTTTCAGGAAGTTTATCATTTCTTCTTTCACTTTGGGGAATAGCGTTTTCCCAATCGGCAAGACCTGAGTGGGGTCTTCAGGGTTGGTGGAAAAAGTTTCCAATTCTTCCATTGGGGTTGCATTTGGTTCAGACTCGATGATTCTGGAATCTAGCTCATCAAGTGGGTGCCCTTCTTCAGGGGCCTCTACCATGTCGACGTCTTCCTCCTATTCGGAGATATGATCTTGTTCGTCTAACATTTCTATGTCCATGTCAACTTCGTTGATGACCTCTGTTATAATGACATTAACAGTGCGGGGTTCAAACTTTTGCAGAGAGTTGAGGTAACATGCTCTCGAGCCCATCTGGTCATCTTGAACTGTAGCAAACCCATGTTTAGTTGAGAACTTCATACATAAGTAATGGATGGAAGTGACTGCCCAAAGATCTTTTAAGGCAGGTCGGCCCAAAACTCCAGGGTAAGCTGATCTGTGGTCTACTGCCAGGAACTCCATGAAGTGATGGGCCACTAGAGGGCTGACCCCATCTCAAAAGGTAGAGTAATTCGCCCTCGTGGGACGATGCTGTCGCCAGTGAATCCAAATAGCGGTCGATCATGAGGATCAACCCATGTTCAATCTACATTTTATCAAAGGTGGATCCGAACAGTATATTCACTGAGCTGCCATCATCGATGAGCATGCGCTTAAGTCCGTTTCGAGCCACTACGGCTCTTACTACTAATGCATCACAGTGGGGGTGATGAACTCTTTGTGCATCTTCTTGAGAGAAAGTGATTGGGGCCATCCTATTGCCCCTTGGGTTTGATTGACAATGTAGGTAATCATTGGTGGATCCTTTGCTTTCCTTGTGTAATTCCTCTAGGCATTCCTGTTATTGCCCTCGATGTGAGGTCCTCCTATGATTGTATCAATTTTTCTGATGGTTTGGCCCACAGATAAGGCCTGATCTCTATGTCTGGATTCTCCTCCATCCCTGGATTTTCTCCTCCGGGGTGATTGGTCTCTATATCGCCTCTCTTCCCTATTCGGGGAGGTGGATCCGCGAGGATTTTCATCTATTCTTGAAGAGCTTGGATTGTTTCGATTTGAGGATCAAGGAGCATCCTTTCACTCGTTGGTGTCGTGTCTGTAAAGTTGGTGAAAGGTGCAGAACCTAGCCCCCTTCTAGGGGTCTATTTGATCGCTTTTTCTTCTTTCGATTGCTATTCGTATCCCCGGATGGTCCCGCCTTGGCCGGGACATTCTTGTATGCCAACATCGACACTGCATTTAGCGTGACAGAAGTGAACGCTTGTACAGATGTGGGAGCTATTGTGTGTCCTTCATGTGTCCATTGCTAGGTGACGATGTGTGCTACCAGTCCTCGACCTACGAAGAGAGTCCCTACGCTGTACGGTTTCGATGGTTAATCATCTCTTCATTGACAATCTCCACTCTCATCATTTCTACCAATTTGTCATAGGTAGTGGGATTCTTACTACGTACATCCCTCCAGAACAAAGTGTTCATGTTGAGGCCACCTTTCAAAACTGAAAGGACCTCTCTGTTAGTGACTTGCTCGCAATATGTTATTTCATCGGTAAACCTAGCGATGTAGCTTTTCAGCGTCTCTCAAGAGGCCTGTCTCATATCTTACAGGCGTTGCACTGGGGCTCTCCCTCTCTTCGTGAGAGGTACTGGTTAAGAAATGTCTTATTCAAATCTGGCTAACTCCTGATGCTCAGGGGAGGCAGTCTGATGTACCACACTTCGGCGGCTCCTGCGAGGGTTTGATGGAAAGCCCTGCATTTCAATGCGGGTGAGGCTCCTCTAAGGCTCATCTGTGTCATGTACTTGGTGATGTGCTTTTTCGGGTCCCCATTTCTCTCATATTTTGGGATTTTAGGGAGCATGAAATTTTGAGGCATTGGGGAAGCTTCGGATTTCCTTTGAGAAATGGAGGTTTTCATCATCATTATCAATTTCATAAGATCGACATGGCCCCTCGGAGCCTTTATCATCTTGTTCGTTCTGTGGATGTGTTCTCACTCGACTGCCCCAATTGACTAAGTTCCTTCTCTCCCGCCTATTTCTAGGCAGAGAAGGTGCTGGTTCTTCCTGTTCTGGCCTAGTCGATCTTTGCACGGAATGGACCCTATCGCTAGGGTTCTGCCCTATTCAGTCGAAGACACTGATCAACCTTTCTGGTTCGAATTCTGGTGGAAAGTTCTCTCCTAGCTGTGGTTCTGCTGGTTGGCTCCCCTGTGCATAAGATGTGACATCTATACCCATTTCTCTTTCGAGGGGGTGTTCTCTCCGTTGGCTCGAATGGCCTCGAAGTTGAGATGCCGGAATTTCTTACGCTGGGTAAGACCATTGGGGCATCTGGAAGCCCTGATGACCTTGAGCTTGCATGAAGAATTCATGCATCGCCATATTCTGAGCTGCAATATCTCTCATGTCTGCAGTTATTTGAGCCATTTCTTCGGTTACAATGGAAAGAGAGTTACAATGTGAAGACATTGACATAAATTCAGTGACTAAAACTCGATATTTTAAACTTCAGTGACTAATCAAAGATATGAACCTTAGTTCAGTGGCTAAAACTCAACATTCGAAAGTTCAATGGTCAATCAAAGACATGGATCTAAGTTCAGTGACCATTGAAACAATTAACTCGTAGTAAATTTAGGAGCCATTTGGCTGGACTTTTGCTCATTGTAGAAGAGATTTCCATTGACAATGGCAATGTAAGCAGTAACTGGGACTACATGCAGTAAAATCCAGATATGAAGAGACTTAGGCGATGCTGTGTTAGCGTTAGTCGGCACCTTGTGAAGACTTTCCGCACTCTTTATGTATGTCTATACATTGACATTTAGCACTTGTTTGGTGCAAATAAAGTTCATTTTTTAGTAAATTCGATAGAGTCGATAAAATATATGGTTGAAAAAGTGAGGTTTCATGAAATGTGTGATCAAAATTATTTGTTGACTTGAACTTAGATTTTTATCATAATATTAATTCACACCAACAAGGGACTTGGTTTGCAATGTGGAAAGTTTGTTAATGACTTGGACAGCAAGTTGGTCAGATTATCAAGACGTTAGTCAATTACTTAACTAAAAGCTGAAATCTGCTCGAGTTTTTGGTGGTTCTATGGTTTACACTAAAACTTGTTAATATGGCAACTTGTAACAAAATAGAGAATTGTTTCTTGTTGATTGTATGGCTCTATATTGAACTAAATAAATCTAGCATAGAAAATAGAAATTTCTCAATGATGAAAATTGTATTTTACAACATTAACTTCAATAGATATTTGTATTAAATAATTGATTATGTGATACTATGGACTATTTCTAAATTTTAACTCATAGGACACACGTAGTATTAAATTTTCAAAAGATGTTGAGAAAATAAAGCACAATCCACCAATAGGGTAAGGAACTTCACTGCAACAAGAAGAAAATTGGAACCAACTTGAATCGCGAAAGAACAATGTCCTGAAAGCATCATTTACCGCTTCATTCAGTTTGTATCTCTATTGACTCCAAGTAGGATTTTTCAAACCTTAATCTAGATTGCAAAAGTACAAGTAAAATTTTGAAAAAAGAACAATGAATACTTTATAAAATATGTTTTTCTTATATTTTATATCAATTTCAATAAATATATTTATAATGAATAATCATTACAAGATGAAAGAACATGAATATTCGGATGAAGCGGCACCTTTTGGGGCCAAAAAAAAAAAAAAATACTTATTTTTCACATCTCAATGCATAGGCACATGGCCGAAATTTTTCTTGGAAATATTACTTTACGTCCTGGCCAAACATCGGCGCCCCCTGTTTGGACTGGGCCGCCACATAAAGTAAAGCAAAAAAGAATGAGACTCTAGTCTTCCAAGTCTTCCCTGCTTCGCTTTACTTTTCCTAAAAACGCCAATCAGTTCCCTCACACAGGCGCTTACAGAGAGAAATGGGAATTTGGGATATCATCAACTCAAGCACAGAAGCAGTGAAGCGAAATGCACCGGCTTTCGCTCTGCTTCACGCATGCAGAACCTCTTTCAGTTATGGCTCCGCCGCCTGCTCCAAGATCGATAATACCGTCAGAGTAAACGGCCTCCAGAGGCTCAACCAGTGGCTTCCGGACGATGAGGCCAAATCCAAGATCGGTGTATTTGCTGTAAAATTCGCTAAAAATGCTGGCCTCTATGCTCTCCACGAGGGTTATAAATTGGTTCCTGGTTTGCTTCCATCTCATATACCACAGTTTCGCCTTTTATTTTCTCCGTTAAATACTTTACTGAAAGGAGAAGATTCAGTATTTTATATTTACATTCTAATTTCTTCTTAAATGTGAATCTAAAGACTAGTCCAATCCTTTGTATGCTGTTAGTCGTGGAATTTATCACGTTTGAGAAGAAATTCGTATGCTTGATTTTTGAGCCTTGGATCAAATTGTTTGTTTTAGCCTAATGAACTTTGATATGATGTTCCATCTTAAAATGTCAACCCTGAGAAGTGCAATTCCTTATATGTAGATCTATATTTTGATTATTAGCCTTTATGAAATTTATCCTTAATACTGCTAACTTAAGAGTGTTGCTAACTTGATTGTCCGATCGTGATTGTTGAATATAAATTTGAAAATATCTAATGTTTTTTGGGCTTGTATTCTCTGTTTGTTTACAAACATAATTATTGATTGTCATTGCAGGTGGAGTTGCAGTTTCAAACATTGTTTCTAAGACCATCAAAGAAGTAGAACGTGAGACCTTAAATGAGAAACCCAAGCCATTGGAAGATAGGGACAGTGCACCAGGGAAAAAATTCACTGGTACCAAAAAATTAATGGACCGAGCAGACATACAACCAGGCTCTCTTGATCATGTCGAGTCAATTGGCAATCAAACTCCAGAAGACGTGAGAAGAATCTTTATGACGAAACAGTTTGTTGGTGCGCGTTTTTTGGATGATTTGATGGTGCCTAAACCGAGAAAAGGGAAGAAGCAGCCTGAATAAATGACAGCTGTTGGGTACTTGAACATCTCTTCTGTGTTTTTAAGATTTCCTAAGCATCTTGTTTTATGTGTGAAATACTATGGTCTTAATCTGCGTTCTGGAGTACGTATCTGGTGGTTGATATGTTGAAATTCCCTACAATATTTATGTTCTTAGATGTATGTTTGTCAAAAATCCCACAAGCGTACGTGTACGTTGTATAATTAATAATTGTTATGAGAGAGTTATTGTCCACGGGGAATAAGGTCTAATATCTAGTCCGGTTTCTTTTATTAAATTCGAAAGAATATAAAATCAAAAGAGTTGGTTTGTATGTATTCTATATTAATCCTAAACTAATAAGGAAAATAAAATATTTATCTAATATGTGAATGTTTGTATTAGAATCATCAATCCCCCATTGTCATTTAATTAAACTCTTAATTCATAATTTCATAAATTCATCTATTTAAAATAATCGATAATTTATTTTTATTTGATATTCTTTTCTAAGATATATTAAACATT